TTCACCTTGTTGACCAGGATGGTCTCGATCTCTTGACCTCGTGATCCACCCGCCTCCTCGGCCTCCCAAAGTGCTGGGATTATAGGCGTGAGCCACCCCATCCGGCCACTAAAAACTTTTAATTCCATCATCCTACTTAAGTCTTTGTCAGTTTCCACAGGCATAATAAAACATTTACATAATAGCAATCATGTGCCCACACAGTAATGTATCCTGAATTTTTACACAGTAATGTTACACAGATCAACCCCCCCCCCCCACCACAAAGAGTTACATAGTGGTGATATCTCAGAAAGAACAATGAATTTGTCCCTAGGTGCTTTCCTTTGAGTCACAGCTCCAACACAGGCAGTACAAACACAGGCAGTACATCGCTTAACCACCTAACTCTATTCCTTCCTTTCTACCATGACTGGCTTGCAGGATGAGTGAGAGGAACAAATACAACGCACGGTGTGTGGCTGACTCATGGTGGGCAATGACTGGTAGTTAATATTTTTAGCGTTATTTTTAAAGTCAACATTTGACTTCCTGAACTGATGGGTTTTGTGGCAAGCACTGTGCCGAGCCTTCTTTACAACAGAGACTGTTTTCATCCTCATTACACTTCAAGAGAAGTTGTAGTATCTCACTTTACACGTGGCAAAAAAGATGCCCACTGTGGTGAAGCCGCTTACCGAAAGTCACACAGCAGGTCAGTGGAAGAGGCAGCTTTTGAACTAGGTTGGGGCGAACAGTAGTTACTGGCCACTACCAAATGTGAAACACAAATGTCACCTCAGAACAGGAGATAGCCTCTCTTCTTAGCATATTACTTTGTACATTCAAAAAGTCCAGAAGGCCAGAGTCGATGAGGTGAAATACAGTTTTAGTTTTTAGGCTCATGAACAAGAGCGGTCAATGAAGAACCCAGGAGAAATTAAAAGAGCAAAGTAAACCTCAACACCAATTAGTTCAGACAGACAAATTCCCTCCCTTCACTATCCTGATGTCTCAAGAGCCACGTTTAAAATTACAAAATCTGTGTGGGTTATGTCAAAGGCAATCTGTAGAAAGGGCAAAGAATATGAATTATCCGAGCCCTTCAGCTTTTTTTTTGTTGCCGATAGTAGGATTGGGAAAATAACAAATGGTACCTCCCAGGGCTGTTGTTATAATTAAGACAAATACCAGAGCAGTTTGGGAGGTGGAGGCAGGCGGATCACTTGAGGTCAGGAGTTTGGATCCAGCCCGGCCCACATAGGGAAACCTTAT